AGTGAGTTATTCCAGATTTGACAATGAACTGCATGAAATGAAGAATGTCTAGGAGCTCCACTTGCACACTGGATATGAAGCTCGTTAGATCATCCACACTCAGCAGAGACATCCAAGAGCGCACAAGACGACGATCAATGTCCGCCAGGTATGCATGGTCTTTCATGATCCCGATCAGACTCCTAATTGAAAGTCAGAGTTGATTATGGTGACCAGGTGCCTTTGACTAAATTTCAACATGATTGCATCAAAAAAAAAAATCACAGGTCTTTTTCTTGACCCACGAGTATTGACTTCCTCGGCCTGCCACTGCCACTGATCTGCACGTCTTTTTTAGGAGATTCTAGTAAATTTTCCTCAGATATTTCAAAGGGTTCCATACTTGTGCTCAAGTCTTTGCAGGAGAGAAACACTTACATACCTTGCACTACTGTCCCTGTATGAATGTGTTCCTTTGCTCCCCTTAAAGCCAGTCCAGGAGTCAAACTGTGGATTCAAGACCAGTGGAACTGGCTCAAATGGCTTGCTTTCTCCTCTCAGCAGGTGAATCAGAGGGATGACCAAGACCCACTTCTCAATGTTGTGATGTCTAGCATGGCTGCAAAGCATCTCAACAGCATCTGCAAGACTGTGCGGGTAAAGAAGTCAGTATTTAATGTATTTACAATGGAAGTGCTTTTTACAGAAGTTAAAACTATTCAATATTTTGACATTTTACCATGTTGTTGTTTTTTTTATTATATCATATCTTAAGTACTTAACTTTTGTTTCTACTCTGTACAATGTTGTTGGAGGACATGGACGACTGTACTCAGATTTACACCTTAAGGGTTCTACTAAACGCAACAAAATGTTTTGCATGCAAAGCCATTGCTGTTTTGGTGAAAGAAGTATCTTTCCACTGTTTTTACATTGTTTTTTAGATGTTCTACATTTACACTGAAGTGCCATAACAACAGAACAACTTCTTACTCTTTTAATTTAATGACACTGTTGCTGGCAAGGCATGGATTACCACCTACATCAACAAGGCCAATGACATACTTTACATGGTTTTCAGGGTAAAGCTCATTTCTGTTACCTCCCACTGTCATTGATCTCTTTATTTTGAGTTTCAGAATATCTGATCACACAGTGTTGTCATACATGTATTTACATTTATTATTTGTGTCAGACAAATGTAGAAATGTATTTCTTAAATGATTTGTTGAGTGATTTATGGTAAAAGTGAAGGAAGTACAGATATGACCTTGGACATAGTTTTGTTTTCATGACAAAACAAAGCCTCTTGTACTGACACCCTCAAATATCATCAGAAGATCAATCTTATTATGTTTGGATGTCAAAATAGGAAATCTTGGCTCATGAAAAACCACGACATGGAAATAATTACTCCCATGGCCTATATCTTGTCTTTAGTAGGTTAACAGCTGACTTTTAAACACAGCTAGCTAGCAGAAATACATGAGCTATGTTTACATAAGCCAGCATTGTGAACAGCTCTATTTTCTGTGTTCACATGAAAAGATCCACATTTTCAAACGTTTCAACTCCAGTAAAAATGGACAGAAACACCAAATCAGTGAGGATGGAAAGGGAAAAAGATAAAACAGTATATTTTCTAACTGATGTGCATTAGTAACAACATGGCACTAATGCATTTCAATTTGAAATCAATAGAATGTATGTTGTGATTGGGAGCAACACAAAATTAAATTGAACTGAACGGCTGGTACCATGTTTGGTCATGGGTCTGTGGGATAGCTTTGTCCTTTTACATTTCTATTTGTAGAACATAGTTAAGTTTTGCTTCTTTTTCTATCCCTGTCTAGTTATTTTGTTATCGTTACTCCTCAAAAGTAGAACTCTGTTACTACTCTATTTAATGGATACATTTTTAAATGACCCATGTCTACCTGATTTGGCAAACAGAACTTGTAATCTTGAATGAGTTTAAATGACAGGGTCCTCTGACTAATACTATTTCCAGGCCAAGTAATAGTTGACTGAACTTTTAACTTTATATTGATCTAACTATGAGGAGCTCAGGCTGATAGTCACTATTTTCTTAAAACTTAAATCTAAGGGAGCTGTAACATTCAGCTTTTTGTAATTTTTCTTGTTCCTTTGTCTATTTAATTATAAATTATAATCTTTATTATCATTATGTTGATTTTAATTTTAAGCCACACAGTAGTTACCTCTCTTTATCAGGTAACGGCTTCACAAAGTCTTCCCAAAAAGAGATGAAATGGTGCTGTGGCTTTCTAGGCAGACGAAGAAGATCGCATAGACTAGATAGCTGATCTGTCATGCTCTCCTTCAGATACTTGTTGTAGACGAGCAAACCAACAACTCCAGCATGCAGAGGTGGTAAGAAAGATTCAGTTCTTCCTTTCCAACTGCTTGGCTCCGGATTGATGTTTTCCTCCAGGAAACACTTTAGCAGAGTTTTCACCTGTAAAAGGTAAATTAAGGCGGTAATGACTTACAACAAGTACTTCCATTTAAAACACAATGTTTGCTGGAAGACAGTATTTATTTATTCAGTTTGTCTTAGGTTTTAGACTGGGTGTTGTAGAATAAAAACAATTGATATTTACCTGTTCTTTACCATATGGCAATCCCCACGGTCTTTTCATGCCATCATGAAGTAAAGGTTGGCTGTATGCATAACAGAACAGGCGTAGCAGGAAAAAGAAGTTTTCCACATTTTGTTCATTCCAGGTGGTTAGAAGATCAAAGATTATTTTTAGCATTTCCTTGCCAGCTTCTTCTCTCCCTTTCAGTACGGTTCCTTTGGTAGACTGCCAAAAACACAAACTGCTCATCTTGGGATGGATCATATCATCATATTGGTGCCACTCGCCTGAAAAGTGCAACAGCACACATTTGTCAGGGGTGCATGAATTGCTATATCTATTTCTATTGGCCCATTCACACAGTAAATGGTTTAAATGTCTCTACACAACAGCAGGTTTAAGCCAAAGCAAACAGCAGTTGGTAAAGGTGCATTCACACTGCTGATGTTCCAAACATTTCATTTTAACACTTATCTCATTAAAATCAAAATAAATAAAATAAATACTTGGTCGTAAACTACAAACATAAACTTAAAGTGTCTGCTCCATGTAGCAGCAGAATAGAGACCTCACAGAGTAGCAGACTTATCACAGGATGAGAGGAGAGTTGACTGACAAGACAATGGCGTAGGATTTGATGTCAAAGGGGCAAAGCAAAAGTCCCTATTTAGTAATATCTCAGATTTAAACCCAATGCCAAAAGAGAACCAGATGACATTAATAAGACACAGACTTTGTCTGATGAGGTGGCAGCTTCTGGAGGTAACACTTCTAATCTACAGATATTGAGCTGAAATGTCTTTTCTTGTAAAATGTCTGGTGTAATCTGTGACACCAATTTTGTCATAAGTTTATTCCTCAGTGGGAATCCCTGATCAACATTCAAACTCATGTGGTGAACGTTAACATTATGCACTCAAACCTGAAAAAAACAAATGTGGCTGTCTTGGTCATATTTCCCTGGCAGTAGGGAGGGGTACCATTAAGATTTTAACAGTACTGATACTTTTTATCAAGGTTACTTTAACGGTACTGTTATCGGTACTTTTAGCTATTTGGTAAGAAAAAAAACAAAACAATTAAGAACAGACTTAATTTAGTATAGAGAGAGATGCAGATGAACTTCTGCGTAGGGAACAGCAAAAATACATCATAGACGAATGTCTTCATCAGAGTTGAAATAAAAAGTATATTTTCTTAATTTCTCCAGTACCAAGAGTAGAACCGATAATGTTGGAGCTTATCAATACTGTATTCTTTAAAAATTTAGCACTGGGGCCAGTTTAACACCAGGTTCGGTACCCATCCCTAACTGGCAGGTCTCTGATCTAAGTGGGACTTAGATGGTAAAAAACAGGTTAAATAAATAATAAAAAAGTGAATATGTAACTATGTTATAATATTAATAGTACATGTACTGTACACATCTATTTTGTAGTTTAGACATTGTACATTCAAAAAACCCTAAAAAATCATTATCATAAAATATATCACTCTGTAAACATAAGCAAAATTTGTGTCTAAGTCCATCAAGGATAATACCTTTGTGTGTTAAAAGATCCTGTCTGATTGAAAGGCACCTGTTGATGTATTCATTTCCCTCTTCCTGATAGAGGGCCTCATAGATTTGCTTATAGTGTTTTCCACTTTGCTTGTAAACAGCATATTTGTAGGGTATGACCTCATGAATTCTGTCTTTGTGAATCATAACCCGTCCTTCAACAAGATATCTCTTGTCCTCTAGACGCCTGTGAAACACAAGTTGGTATTATAAGAGATGGGACATGCAGAGAAGTGACAAACTCATTATTCAAAATAAGATATTAACTGAATGAATGTTGCAAATGAATTTACGAAGTCATACCTTGAAAAGTACATTCTCTGACCATTTTTCCAGTTTCCAAACAATGCTCCAGAGTTTAGACAAACAAAGTCCTTCTCTGGATCCAAATGTAACTCTTTGGAAGTGACAGCATGGAAGTACACTTGTATATAATCACTGTTTGATGAACTAAAAAAAGAAAGAAAAATTGTCAATAAATGTTCATTTAAAGTGATAATTTGGGTTATTTGAAGTCTGAGAAGCAGGCAGGAGTGCCGGCAGAGAAGCAGAGGAATGTAACACTGTGGATTCAAAGACTTAAAAAAAACTTAAAAAACTTATTTCAGCCACTTAAAAAATGCCCACTTAAAAAAAAACAATCAGTTTACATGTATCTTGCCATTACACAGCCCTTTCCTTTGGCATTCTTCAAAGTAGCCTTTACCTTGAGGACAGATTTGCACAATATTAGCATTATCTTTACCAGCTTCATAAGGTAGTCACCTTCAATGCTTTTCAATTAACAGGTGTGGCTTGTCAAGTTAATTAGTGGAATTTCTTGCCTTCTTAATGCATTTGAGACCATCAGCTGTGTTGTGTTTTGGTAGTGTTGGTACACAGCCCTACTATATCAAGAACTGCTCAACTAAGTAAAGGGAAACAACAGCCCATCATTACTTAAAGACATGAACGTCAGTTAATCCAGAAAATTGCAAAGACTTTGAATGCATCTTCAAGCGATGTTGAAAAAACCATGATGGTTTGGGATGAGTTGGACCACAGATACCCCTTCTCCACCAAGATGAACCTGGTGCTAGTTCTGGGCTGGTGCTAGAGCTGGTGCATAATTGGTTCAACTTGTGAACCTTCTAAGAACTATATATGTATATATATTGTGGTGTGTGTATGTGTACAGTTGAAATCAGACGTTTGTATAGACTTACAGATTTTGTGTTAGCAAACTATAGTTTTGGCCAGTAAGGTCATCTACTTTGTGCATAACACATTACTGGGACAAAAAGGCATGACCCCATCACCCCTGTGCTTGCCTCTCTACACTGGCTCCCTGTTAAATTTTCAAATTGATTTTCAAATTTTCTTGCTCACTTTAAAGGCCTTGAACCTAGATATCTCTACGATTTATTGACCTGGTATCTGCCCAATGAGATTAACAAATGCTCACATATGTGTGTACATGCAGGTGCCTGTTCACATTTGTTTTACTATATTCCTGGGGTCTCAAAACTGTACACTGTACTTGGGGTCTTTGTGGGGACAAAAATGTTGGACCCCACAGTTTAAATGGTTGTTTAAGGGTTAAGACTTGGTTTTAGGGTTAGGATTAGAATAAGGTTTAGGCTAGGCTTAGGCTTACTACAAATATATATAAACTTACATAAGTGGACCTTTAGTGGACCCTTCCAAGGTATTTGCTTCGACTAGAACACACATCTCCTCAGATGCTGGTGAACTGGAGACATCTACATCTCTATTAACTGGCTGCTGTTCTTGTCTCTCCAGGTGTGTGCTTGTTTTGTCATCTGATTGGGGGTCAATAGTCTGTGAAAAAAGAAGAGTTGAAGATGAACCAGGAATTTAGAAAAAGGGATCAATAATTCTTTTGTTTTGAGTAAATGATTGATGATGTTTTCGAGTCAGTTTAAGGATTAAACTCTCTCTATATATTTGACTGACAACTACAGTACCTCAGTGCTTTTGGCTGTTTCCTTTGTTGCTGGACACGGATCAGCAGAATGCTCTTTGGATTCTTTGGGAGTTTGTCCATCTGAGTAGCACAAGACCTTATCTCCGGCTGCTTGGTCTTTGTTCCTGTCACTTTGTTTAGCAAAGGTATGCTGTTCGGTGTTGGTGTGATCTTCATTATCATCTGGCCTTCCAGACAGATTTTGTGTCTCATGGTTGGTTGTCTTATCTTCATCTTGACCAGAGTGCTTTGTCACCAAATCACGTGTTTGCTGAGACGGCTCAGGTGCAGTGGAGCCGGTTTCTGCAGTTGATGTATGTGATGACGTAGCATTAGACAACAGCCCAGAATGAATATCGCTTGACTTGTCAGCAGGAATTTGCACTGCATCAGGACTGGCCTCTGTACTAATGTCTGCATTCTCTGTTTGTTGCCTTGTCAGTTTATCACTGGCAGGTGTAGGAGACGGCGCTGTCGTGGAAACAGACAGGTGTAATACAAGGTCTGTTTTATTGTCTGGTTGAGAGATACTTTCAGAGGCTGTGGTTCTGGTTTCCACTGTGGCTGTGCTTGCTGTGTTATTTGACAGGTCCTGTGGTGTAGCATCATCTCTGGCTGGCTCTGAATCATCACTTGCCAGCTGCCCCTGAAAAACATTTTAATAGTTACCTTTGCCAATATCATTTTCAATGTCATAAATATTTCTAGGGGGTAAAGTTTCTCTGGGGGCAGAAATTACCACACGGATTGAGTGGTTAATGTGTTGAGCCAAAAAACAGTTTTTCACATCAAAATTAAATAAAATGGATAACATCTGTAGTGAGGAAGAAAATATGTTAAAACATTAATAAAAATACAAAGAACATGTCATCTTTTCACAGTCATTTGTAACTGTGAAACTGAAACTGCTCTAATTATCTAAGTAGGCTATCATACAAGGTTTAAATACTGGCTGGATGATTGGGAAACTGGGAACAGGTGTGTGGGGAAGATCAGGTGACTGGGACAGAAAGGAAAGTCCAGGGCATCTGGTGAAGATGACTGAGCAATAATAGTTGGGAAAGAGCTCATATAAAATGCAGGGGCCTGAGGAAGAGGGACTTTTGGCTGACGGGACCGACACCAGGGCAGTAATCATTAATAGGCTATAGCCCACTTAAATTCCTGCATTACTGCACCAGCCGTGCAACACATTGCAACTTCCACTAAAGCGCCACAGCGGGATACACAAGAGATCACCACAATGATCAAGTGTTTTTTGTGGTCCTGCATGGTAGCTTGGGAAAATCTGTGCAGTCACCTCTGTCCAAACCCAAAGTTTATCTGACTTGGCTCAAAACGTGTCTCTGTTATGGTGACTATAGAGGAAGCCACTGTTTATTACCTCCATGTTCAACTCTCAGTACAGTTTAGTTTCACTCTTATCTGTTCAGATATCAGCCTTATTACTTTTTACTGATAACTTCTACCACCATAAAAAAAACTGTGTTGCGTATCTGATAATACTGCTAATACAACAACACATACCTGCTGCTGCTTTATATTAAAAGCCTTTCACCAGTGGACTAGTTGAAGACCAGTTGTTATGAAGGAGCTACTGAAAATGCAACATATTTGACAAAGAGCTGCAAAGATCTTTACACTTATTGAATAGATATAGTACTTAGTATTTACACCAATGTCTCCTACTGCACTGAAGCTTTAGTGTTGTCCCTCACCTGTAAGTTGCTTTGGATTAAAGTGTCTGCCAAATGAGTAAATGTAAAATGTAGCTGAACTCTTCACTGTAATGGTAAATGGTAAACGCAGCAATATATGGCCACATTCAGTGCATTTTGGTTAGCTGACATGTTGCAAGGAAGGATGGATAAAGAAAAAACAGTCACAGTAACCTAGGAAGATAGAAAACTGCAGTTGACTGTGGTCTCCAACATTTCATCAAGGTCAACAACACCTCTTACGGTGATTACGGTTCATCACAGCTCAACTGTGTGAGTATTCCCAACTCTACTAAAAAACTGCATTTATTTTCTATGTCTGTAGAGGCTCTCATAGGTAGCAACTTTATTAAGAACACTTGTACAGTGAAATGCAAATCCAACACCACATCTCAATTCCACCTTTAGAAAACATATGTTTGTTTTTTGTTGAAACGGTCAGAGATGTGTTACTACGTCTACACACGTTTATGATTGCTGGTGGTGTTGTACTGTACTGGACTGCCTTGCACTGAAAGATGTGTTCAATTTGATTATTAACACATTCTTGCCATGGCAGAACCCCACTCTCCTGTTTTATGAGCTTGTTTACCATCCTAAGTAATGTCGGAGTGAACTAGCAGGCAAAACTGTGTTTCAGTTTCAGAAAGAGGAAGTAAAGGTTGCTTGGGATTTTGAAAGGACACTGCATGGACTCTTTCTATTTTGATTTCTTTTTTAAATGCTGTCGTTTAAATTCATGGCTCCAGTTATATGAGAATGAAAATTATATCACTTTAAAAACTGTTTCTAAGATGTTTCACCTTCATCTGGGCAGCGTTTTCTTGCTTTTCTTCAACATCTTTTGGAACCTGGTCTTGATCCTCCTTTTGGCTCTTCCCATCAGCCACTGAGGGCTGAGGTGCTGACGTGGCCACATCTGTATAACAATTAATGTGACATATTAGTTACATAAAAACACAGTAAATATGTTTTTAGTCTTTTATGGTACTCCATACAGCTAGGATAAGAGAATGATAAATTACAATCTCCAGCATACTTAATTTAAGAATATGTAAGGTTATATCATTAATATTATTAAGAAGTCATATAATAACAATAAGAAACTGATACAGAAGAGTTTGATAGGAAACTTACCTTGGGTCCTATTTTGACTCAATAACCTGAGGCCACATTGAGGACAGAACTTATATGAACTTTCTGCTTGATTTCCACACTCGGGGCAAAACATGATGCACCTGTTTAAACAGATACAATTAGTAAGGGGAGGAAACATTGTTAAGCATTATAACTTGGTTCCTGCGCCTTACGACTTTTTAAAGACTTTATTTTTAATGCCAGTCGTAAAGACCAACAGGATGCAAACGTGTGTCGAATACACGTCCTACTCCCTCACTTGTACGGTTGGTGTTTTGTCACTCACTTCTATTTTCAGTACTTTCTTACACCTGACTGTTGTCCGGAAATCTGTTGCTGCTTG